AACAGGTTAACAACGTCCCCAGCAAATATACTCTATACAAATCAGAAAAGACCTGAAACCAGGGGAAAAGAAAGGGAAAGAAAGAAAAAAAGAAAAGAAAAAGAAAAAGATAAAACAAACAAAAACAGAACAAAACAAAACAAAACAGATTATGATCAAATATGATCAGGTTAGTGCATAGATCAGTGCCACACAGTAGATTTTGGGCGTATTTTAGTCTGTTAGAAAAAGTGCCTCCTAAAATTTTAAAGGAAGAAAGACTTATATATGTACAAAATAAGGGTTGATACAATGAAGGGATGGAAGATGACTGTAAAGATGAAAATTATAAAAGATTTTATAAAAGGAATTGATAAGGTTAGAAGTTGTTTGAAAAAAGAAAGAAGAAGATTAGAAAAAAAAAGAAAAGAAAAAAAAGAGAGAGAATGTGATCAGGCAAGAAACTAGAACAAAGCACACACAAATGATTTAGGGTATATTTTGATCTGTTAGAAGAAACTGTATCTCAAAATTTTAAAGAGAGAACAACTTATATATATGCCAAAAATAAGGGTAACTACTATGAAGGGATAAAATATGACTCTGAAAATGAAAAAAAAATGTTTTTTAAAAAAGGGATTGATAAGATGTTGGTTGAAAAAGGGAAAAAGAAAAATTAAAAAAAAAACAGTTAAAAAAATTAACTTTGAAAAACTAATGAATCATGGTAAAAAAGCCATGAATTCTATGTGCAGTATTCCCCTAGCGCTGGAGTTCTCCCGTTCTCCTTGATCGGTAAACTTGGTCTTGGCTTGCTGGCTGTTCGTGCTGATCTTCTGGGGGAGGGGCCTGTTGCCGTGGTTCGCAAATGTCTTTGCCGGAGGCGGAATTGCCCCGCCCTTGTCGGTCCGGGCTAAGCAAGCTGCTCGGGTTTGCTCTCAGGAGCTTTTGTTCCCTGCAAGCTCTCGGTACAGCTTTGGAGGATCAGGGTGAAAATGGTGGCCTCCCACTCTCCGCAGGAGGAGCCGAGAACTCAGGCCCCACCCCTCAGTGCACCCCCAGAGAAAAGCCGTCAATCACTCCTGTCTCCCCGCTCTCCGGCCGCACTCCGTGCTCACCCAGCCTGTGACTGAGTGTTTCTGTCTCTGGCACCCGACCCCGTGTGGAGTCTCCAAACCCAGCAGATCCCTGCGGTGCGCTCCCGCGCCGCTCCTCCCCGGGGAGGAAGGGGAGTCTCCCCAGATCTGCCGCTTGTTGGGTCCCTGCTGGAGGAGCAGTGGCCCGACTGGGCCGCAGATCACAGTTTATGGCAACCCCGAGCTGAGAGCCCGCCCCTCGGCTCCGTCTCTGCAGCCGGCTTCCCCGCTCCGATCCCTGGGAGCTCTGCTGCACTCAGGCACCCCCGGTCCCTCTGTGACCCCGAGGGTCCTGAGACCACACTGTCCCGCGAGTGTTCCACCTCCTGCTTAGCCACTGGAGTGGCGACCCTCAGAGAAGCCGACTTCTAAAAGTTCCGATTTTGTGCTCGCGGCTCTATCACTTGCCAGAAGCGGCCGACGGAGGCCCCCTCCCCCGCCGTCTATCCTCCCGAATATCGCCTCGGATTCACTTCTCTGCACATCCTACCTTCCAGTAAGTGGTCGCTTCTCTATTCAGAGAGTTGTTGCTACTCTCTTCTTCGGTCTCCTGTTGAGTTCGTAGGTGTTCAGCATGGTTTGATCCCTATTCAGCTGAATTTCCGAGACCAGAGGAAATCCAGGTCTCCTACTCCTCCGCCATCTTGCTCCACCCCCCAGGAATTGGCATTCTTAAATATCATACTCTATTGCATGAGTTCTAAAGTGTGGAATCTCATCTAGGTCTGAGTGATTTTATAGAATGCAGATGTATTTGCATGCATACACCTACATTGTATGTGTGTGTTTGGGGTGAGGAGAGCTGGAAAAGTCTCCATTTTCAATTAATCACATTTATATAATTTTCGTTTAACAATTAATTCTTGAAGATGTTTTATTAATGAATTTGGTCAGCAATCATAGCCAAGGAGCTGGGTTCTAAACATGCAAAACTCTCATAGAGAATTTAAGAAAACAAGGAGTGTGAAGATGAGAAGTTAAGAAATATGAAGAATGAGGGGCGCCTGGGTGGCTCAGTCAATTAAGCATCTGCCTTTGGCTCAGGTCATGAACCTGGGGTCCTGGGTTCCAGCCCCACATTGGGCTCCCTGCTCCACCGGAAGCCTGCTTCTCCCTCTCCCATTCCCCCTGCTTGTGTTCCCTCTCTCTCTGTATCTCTGTCAAATAAATAAATAAAATCTTAAAAAAAAAAAAAGAAATATGAAGAATGAATCATTAGGCCCCTGACCAACTGGTTTAGGGGAAGGTGGTAGAACATGACAAAAAACAAACAAACAAAACAAAAAAACCCCAACTAGTTAAAGTTTCAAGTCTAAATGTTGTGAATGAATGAAGAAAATTTTTACACAAAAACAGAAGTCGTAAGGAGGAGGTGGCTCTTGTTTGCACTGAATGTGGCATGGGTCCAGTATGGAGCATGAGGGGAAATGTTAGTGAACACAATAGGGTGGGGGAGAGCATGAGTGGATAAATGGCATCTCAAGAATAGATCATTTTAAGAGTTAGGATTAATACATGAGAGGTGGTTAATGCTGAATAAGGTGTTAGAAAAACTAAGAGTAATGATAGAGAATAACTTATATTCTAGATTTCTGAGATTTCTTTTGAACTTTGAAATTTTTAAGGTAGAAAGGAGGGAGAGAAATAGGCCAGAGGATTGTTCATGATTTTACTGGAATTTTTTTGGTTCACTTTTCCTCACCAATTGAAAATACTACTAAAAATAGCTATCGTATTAAACCTTACTATTTTATTCACTAGATAATAACTGTATTTCCAATTTATTCTGAGAAACCTGGGTTTTAAAGAAATCTAGCCTTTTGTTCAAGGTCCCACTTAGGGAGTAGGCACAGTGGAATTGAACCCAGGGTTTGGATGGATCCAAAGTTTACATTCCACAGTGATTGGTCTCCTAAAAAAGGATTAATTAAAGATAAAAATTAAATGCGCAAAAAATAAATCAAGTCTCTAATCGTGTAACCAGTAACACATGGAGCCAAGAACAAGTCTATTCAAAACACTAAAACCACTTCAACCCCCAATGCAGTCTTGGGAGGGGATGACAGTTCTTTTCTCTTGTACACTGTACTTATAGGTGAATATTTCAAAGGTTCTCAGGAAACATCTTTCCCTGGTTTTTCTAATCCATAGTAAAAGTGGTACCAGGCTTCTGTCTTGTGGTCAATGGCATATAATTCTTCATATTGGCATTTGAGTATTCAGGCAGCTTATGAAAGATCAAAGAAAATAATTCAGGATGCTTTAACTTTCATTCCTCGTGTACATATTCAAAAATACTCAGGTGTGTTTCATCTAATTAGGTTGCTTAAATGCAATTTAAAAACATTTACAGTCGGTTTATAATAATTATCACCACGCTTTTTTTGATAAGCACACAAAATATGGAATGTGCTGCTTTTAAATAATTAGAAAAATGAAACAATGTCTAAAAAAGAAAAAATTAACAAAAATCACTTTGAGTCTTCTGAGTAAATGCTCAACACCCTTTCTAATTCTCCATGACAAATTTAACCTTAGGCTAATTTTCTAGCTGTTTTCTGGAAATCTGATAAAGAATGAGTGTCAGCTGGATTTAGAGACAAAATTGCCTGTGGTAAAAGTGGCCTTTGCTTGGTAAATCGTATCTTGCCTGGGAGGAATACTTGATGAACTGTAACAAATGGTGGGAACCCACAGTTTGAGCATCACTGAATGCAGTGACCCTCATATTGGGCATGCCTTTGCAGGGGGACCGAAAGTTATGTTCACAGAGGTGTTATTATGGCTCCAAGGGAGATGAGGAGGCTAAGCCAGGGCAGACTCCACTCCCATAGGTGTAAATTCAACTCCTTGTACCTAAACTGTCACTTGTGGATGGGGTGGACAGAGACTAGCACCTGGACTGCATTATGGACTTTTTCAAGAATATCTTGAAGAGAAACATCTGATGCTGACCCCTGTGCTTTGATTCCTGTCTGTCATCCTATTGATGACTCTGAGAGCCATGTGTAGCCTAGGGTAATCATGTGATCTGAATATTCAGTGTAAGAAGATCCCCTGGGTCTTGATATATAGACAGTTTTCAGTTTATTTCTTTTATTTTTGTACACATATGTGTGTGTGTGACATGGTATCCATGAAAATGTATATATATAATATATAAATTATGTTATCTTATAAATATATAGTTTCCTATGATATTTTTGAAAATAATATGCATATTTTCATTGCTTTGACATAATTAATCTCGCACCTGCTGTTTTCAGATTAGCTTTCTTTTTGTTACTAAACAGTTTACATTAGATAAACATAACATAATTGTCTAGGGATAAGTGCATAGAATTTTAATGTATGTTTTACAGGATGTCAAAATTAAATCTTGCCATTTGCAACAACATGGATGGAACTAGAGGGTATTACGCTAAACGAAGTAAGTCAATCAGAGAAAGACAATGATCTCACTGATATGTGGAATTTAAGAAACAAGGCAGAGGATCATCAGGGAAGAGAGGAAAAAATAAAACAAGATGAAACCAGAGAGGGAGACAAACTGTAAAAGACTCTTATTTTTTTAAAAGATTTTATTTATTTATTTGAGAGAGAGAGAGAGCACAAGCATGGGGAGCGGTAGGCAGAGGGCGGAGGGAGAGGGAGAAGCAGACTCCCTGCTGAGCAGGGAGCCCGATGCGGGGCTCAATCCTAAGACCCTGAGATCACGACCTGAACCAAAGGCAGATGCTTAACCGACCGACTGAGCCACCCAGGTGCCCCAAGAGACTCTTAACCATAGGAAACAAACTGAGGGTTGCTGGAGGGGAGAGGGGTGGAGGGATGGGGTAACTGGGTGACAAACATTAAGGAGGGCACATGATGGAATGAGCACTGGGTATTATATAAGGCTGATGAATCACAGATCTGTACCTGTGAAACCAATATTACATTATATGTTAATTAATTGAATTACAATAGTTAAAAAAAAGCAACCCCCCCCAAAAAAAGAAATAAATCTTACAGAATAGCAAAAGAAGGAGAGCTCCTATCTGGCTGGGTGATCAAAATAATTTTTATAGAAATGACTGGGAGTAAAACTATGGATCTACTATTCTTTTCTGTGGCAATTTGATAGTATGCTTTCTTGTCATTAGTTTCTCTTAGCATTGCAAGTCACTGCATTATTTTTCTGAAAATGGTAGCTGCTTGCCTGATGTCTTTTGCTTTTGTGAAGTGCATTACTTAATGGATGTTGGACTGTTTCTAATGTTACCTTTTTTTTTTTTCCCCCAGGCTGGTGCTCAGTTCATTCCAGCCCTAAAAGTTTATTTAGCTCTGCTCTAAACTTCCCGGCACTGTGATGTCCAAAAACTCAGCTTATCTATTCTGTGTGTGCTACATCAGCCTGGTACTCTAGAGAGTTTGGGGGAATTTTTAGTATATTTATTTATCTCTTGGTACGTGGAGCTGTGTTTATGCCTCATGTTAATGGGTTGTGCACAGTTTTTAATGGGAAAAGCACGACTTTACTGACATTTTCTGAAAAATAAATTCACTTACGGCTGGAAAAAAATAAAAGATGTCAAAATTTTATGGTGAGAGATTTCTGGTTTTAGGACAAGATGGAGTAGATATAATTTTTCCTATTCTTTTTATTAAGTACAGCTAAAGATAAGCAAAAGGAGATTCCGAAAGGTGGAGAAAAGAAGACAGATTGGCACTACTCCTTGGGACTGAGGAATGACCTGTGGTGAGTTCGTTTTCACCTAATATGTTCAGGAGCAGGTGCTGGAGAAAGTGGAAACTAAGAAACACCAATAGGCACAGACAAAAATGTTCTAAGGAAATTATCTTTCTCCACCCCCCAAAAATACAGGAAAGGGCAGCCTAGCAAGGCAGAACATGTAGACAATAACCACACTACTCTACTACAGAGAAATCTGTGTCCCGCCCTCCGATTTCAGGTAGCAAAGGCTGAGTGGGGAGCCTAGACTACTACCCATCCTGGCCTTACCTGTTGGGACTGTGTCAGAGGAAGCCTACTTGGGATCCAGGACTTTCACCACTGCCTATCACTAATAGGCCACTTCTCAGGCTGGGGTGATGTTGTCTGTAGAGTTGGTGTGCTTGAGGGTGGCAGAGGCCAACCTGGGGATGGTGGTCTTTCCAGGAAGAGATCCATGAAGGGTATGGATGTCTGGCTGGTGTTTAATTCTGAGTATATGTGCTAGAGGACTGGCTCAGGTTAGAACTACAAGGATGGACTCTACTGCTAGGTGAGCAGTCTCAGTGAGCTCCATCAGAATATGATGGGTGCACCTCACAAAGGAATATGCAGTGTCAATGACCAAGCTTTGTGGGGAGTCCATTAATAATGCATATATATTCTGGACATGTTGATAGGCTAATTATAGGGACATTTATAGATGCTAGCTTCTCAATCCAGACATCACCCATTAAAATTATAGTAAGAACATTGGAGCACAAACCTACCAGCCGGATGGGTCTGATTTTTTCACATTGGGAGAGCCTTTCTGCTCGGGATATAATTTGAGACTGGTTTAAGGACAAAGTGATTCATTTGAGCAACACTTCTAATGGTACCATTTAATGTAGAGGGAGGTGAACTCTTGGTCAGAATTCATGGCCAGTGACACACTGGCTGAAACCCTTCTAACCAGGTCTGTGAGGGCCTGGTGCTCAGCCATCCTGTTGTGCAATTGTATCCCTGGCTGAATTTGTTCCAGCGCACCTCCTGAGACAGCATGAGGCCCAAGGAGTCTACTAGCAATCTTATTATCCTGCACCTGTAGTGCAGTAATAAGTAATAAGAGTAATAACCACGGCCAAAGAGTGTACTTGCACTTGAGTAGCTTGTGGGGGCCTTCTTCAGGGTGAGAAATGTGGATACTGAATGAGGGAGAGGCATATCTCCTTTGGAGCAAGAGTTCCTTTACCTCTTCCTCTAAGGAGCCCTAGGGGCCTGGCCCACCTCTGCTGAGAGCAGCTGCTTAATCCTGAGGTTCTTATATGAAATTCACTTTCTAATGTGGCTGGCATGCACTAGGTGCTTCTTTTCCTATCTCTGAGATCCACAGTTCCACTGGTGGGTCCTGGAACTATAATTTCAATCTGCAAAATTTCCAATGAATTTGGTTTAATTAACCAGCCTTTTAAATCTGAATAGTGAGGCAAACCCAGTGGCCTTAGCTTCATGACTGGCACTGGGCCATCATCTGGGCCAATAAATCTGTATAATCATGATCTCCAACAAATTTGGTAGGGGTTTGTGCCCTTGGATTCTCTATTATAAGAGGATCATACTGCACAATCCACCCTTGATTAGATAGCTCGGATGTGGGAGATGGCAAATGATCAGACGACACAAGGTAAAGGACACATTTATCTGATGAGCAGATATGAATGATATTATTTTTGATGTCATAGGCGTGGGGGTTTATAAGGAATTGGTATAATTTTATATTGTGTATGAAAATAGGCACCATTATAAGATTTTTTTGGAAATCATTAAACATGAGAATTGTTTTATTTTATTCCTCATTCCCTTTCTTTCTCCTTTTGACTCCTTTTACTTTCCCTCCCTTCCTCATTTCTCCCTCCCCCTTCTTTCTTCCTTCCTTCCCTCCCTCGCTCCTTCCTTCCTCTCTTCCCCTCTACTTCTCTTCTTTTATTCTATACATTCTTTTCTATATCTGCTTCATTTTTTTAAATTAAAGGTCTTGTCCAGATGAACATTTCAGAAGGCAGAAGGAATGTACCTGATGCCTAGAAACTAGTCAGTGAACACAATACTGAGAGAACTGCAATCACCCATTGATTCAGTGTGGGAAGAAAAGGGGAAGCAGCCAGCCTAAATCCAGAACAACTTGCTATAAAAAGGGAATATTCCCTCTAGAGGTCCGTGACCTTTTTATCCACAACCGGCTTTTCCTAAAACCTCCATCTCTTTAATTCATTACCTATAAATAAATAGCAGGTAGAAAATATTGTGGATGACACAATTCACACAGGATGAATCTTGGTTAAGTATAATTAAAACTCAACCACACAAATTTCTTTGTCATCATGGAATGGAAACTTTTTCTACAGACAAGGAAGGTTTACAGCTCGCTTCCCAGGCAGGGTTCGGATCCAGCAGATGACTCTTGTCGTGGACTCATGCATGGCAGCCTGGTGATGGCACCAACTGTGGGCACAGACCACTACCTGCGTCACATCTGGGAATCTCCGCAGGCTCCTCTCCCCTACCCCATCTTTATCCTGGCCACTAGAGAATTGAAATGGCCCAACAATGAATACTGCAGACTGAGAAGTAAAGCTCTTAGACCTATGGAAGAGAGGACCATCCTTAAATTGCCTCAGTATCAGAAGGAACAGGAAAGAGAGGGGTAGGGGTGGAGACATGCAGTAGGGTATGGAACAAATAGAAAACTTCAGCTAAATGGGAAAAAAGGCTGATTTTAAACAAGTTACAGGTGTTTTGATTGAAGGGAAATTGGAGGTCTTAGAAATGACCATCTTACTCTCATATTTCCAGAGCAGAAATACCTGACTTACTGCAGGGCTTTCCCAAAATCTATTTATTGCCTCAACAAACAGTCAATATCATTTTCTATGTCACCATCTATTCTTAATGGGAACTTTTTCTCTAGTGTTTGTTTCTAGACTCAGGCATTAAAAGACACTTACTGGGCAGTTTTCAGTTCCAGAAGCAGATCACCTCTCAGGCTATCAGTACATGCATGGAACTATGCTCAGGGTCTAAGATATAGGGGCTCGTGGCCTGGAGCCCAGGGGCCCCAGAGCTATGATGGTCATGTCAGCTGGAGGGACATGACTTTGTCTGGACAGGGAATTAACTTTTGTTCAAGCTGTAAATCCCCATCCTGCCATCCTTCAGTGATTTCAACCAACTAAATTATCTCCCCTGCAAGTAAAGGAAAATTAGTAACATCTGAGGCCAGTGGTATAAGAAAGTCCCTTGCTGCCCTTTAGTGGAGGGGTTGCAAGGGCCGTGAGATCTGTGTGTCACTTGAAGGCACCCAAGTCTGTGTCTCCAGCTCTAAACCTTCCCTGTGCTCTCTCTGAATGGATTGGCTCTGTCATGGCTTTCAAATGGCTACTTGTCTCACTATCTAGATTGTCAGTATTATCAAAAGGCTCCCTGAAGTGTCTGTTTCCACATTTACATCAATAAAGAGTTTACTAATGTTCCTTCTTGCTTTGATCACTTTTTCCTCGCTTTTCCATAGTAATCTCATAGCCCAAGCCAAGTCTCCTTATCACCACTATTTGGTGATTCATCAAATTGGCAGTAAGTTTGGGGGTGGGTAGTTCCCGCATATGTTCATAATTAAGTCCACAATCAATGGGTTTAACTACCCTGTGACATTTAATATTTGTATTTCTTTTGATTTATCCCAATCTCTATCACAGAAAACACTGAAAGAGAGAGGAAAGAAAGAAAGAAAGAAAGAAAGAAAGAAAGAAAGAAAGAAAGAAAGAAAGAAAGAAAGAAAGAAAAGAAAGAAGAAAGAGAGAGAGAAAGAAAAAAGAAAAAGAAAGAAAGAAAAAGAAAGAAAGAAAGAAAGAAAGAAAGAAAGAAAGAAAGAAAGAAAGAAAAAGAAAGAAAAAGAAATTACTAGTTTTTAAAATCAGTGTTTAAATGCTTAGGGTGATATTTCTAGTCTTTAAACTCTCTTATAAATTTTATTTCTTTGCTGAAAGTCACTCCTACTGGCAATCAATGTTGCTTTTGGAATCAAGAAATCCTACCACTTCACTTTGCTCCTACCTGGATGGGTAATTTAGGTTTTCAATATATATGGATTTAGCAAATATTGATTATCTTTACTCTGAAAGTACTCATAGTAGCTGTTTCTCTGGTGCTATCCTGTCTGTAATGTTTTGATGCCCAAGTGCCCGGGAGATGTGCTGCTGTAGCCTCTTACCCCAGTACAAAGCTGTGAGTTTCCCTAAAGGGCCCTCTAGACCTCAGCTAGCAAGACATGGGCAAAAGGGACCCCCATCCCTTACATAGCTTGATCCTCACTTGGGCTCTGTGGCTATCCCTGAGATTCTGGGGAAAGAGATGGGGATACAGCAAGCAAGGACTCTTCTATGAAAAAGTGAGAGAAGGGTTGCCACCTTTATCCCCTTGGGCATGTACTGTCCTTCATTTGGAGGATCTAGTCTTGAGAGGAGCTTCAGTAGCATCAGGGGTCCCTGATGGTGACCTCATATGAATGGTGGAGGCATGTTCCATTCACTTCTGCTTGCATCATGCGACACATGGATCATGCAAAAGTGTACTCATTAAACAATCAATGCATCATTAAACAATCAGGCACTAGATGACGACACTGTCCCCATGTGTGCTAGGTTGGTTATGATGACACTCCTTTCCTGTTGCAGTTGGGTAGAATTTCCGTCAGCCTTCTGTGAAACTGATGGCATGTGTGGGAAAATAAGTCAACATATCCAGCTACAGCACCATGTTTTGCAATGGATGAGACAGCAAAGCAATGGATGGTCACGGCAAGCAGCTAGAAACCCATACTTGCTTTTATGCAGAGCTTTATATCTGTGTCTGGAGACCAAAAGGGAAAGCCAACGGTGATAATCAGGTACTTAATCAGACAGCACAGAGTCAGAGTGTCTGCTTTATGCTTGCTCCCTCTTAGTGAAGGTGTAAAGATAAATTTTCAAGCCAGGATGAATGTGCAGTGACTGGTGGTGAAATTAGGATGGAGGGCAGGTGATAGGATTGCTGGTGGCCCCCATCCCTACCAGTGGTCCAGTACCACAATGCAAAAGACACTGGAGAAGAGGTAGGAAACTCAGACATACATTCTTTTTTTCTTTTGTGAAGGATTTGGTACCTTGTGGTGAGTTTCCCTGAGAGAGAAGCCTGTTTTTTGGATAGTATTCAAGTTCTAGGGGCATATCTCACCCTTGAAAATCTGAGAAGGAAGGTGGCACTGCTCACATGCTCAGGAAACATTAAGGTGAAGGGCTTTGGCAAGTTGGAGCAATATTGGTACAGAAAGTCAGTCCATAAATCCATAAAAAAAATTGGCTCTAAGATTGGCTCCAAGGTGCTAGGGTGCATGCTAGGGTTTGAGGGGGCGCCAGTATTTTCTTGACAAAAGTTTCTGCCCTATTTCTTCCTCATTTTTTTTTATTGCTTCTCAGCCCACCAGAGTGAAAGCTGCCCATGGCGCATGTGGAGCTATTCATGCAAAATTATGTGCAACAGGAAAAGACTGAAAACAGTCCGGATGCCCATTACAAGTGACTGGTTGAACAAATGGAGTAAAGCCACACAATGCAGCACAGTGCAGCTGTTAAAATAACCAATGAAGGAAGGGAGGGGAAGCAGAGAGGTCCTCAAAGAGAGGACTTTGGACCGCGCTCTGCAGCTACTGGTAACTGGAGCAGCAGAAGCTGCAACAGAAGTCAAAAGCTAGAACTGGTTCCGGAAAGAAAGTGTGACTGAGCACTGGAGCAAAATATATCTTACCATGGACTGCTGCCTAATTTCTCCACCCATTCTTGGATTTCCCTCCATTGTTAATCTCTGCTGATTTAGATGTTTTTTCATGATCCCCATCCTCGTCTCCAGGTTACCAATTCTGCTGAGGCCCTGAGGAGACTGAAGCCTATTGGATAGCAGCAATTTTCCTATACTTGCCCCATTCCCCACAATTTATGAAAAGAAGAGGTTGGAAGTGAAGATCTGGGACGTTTTAGGACACAACTCTGTCCCCTTCCCTCACTCTGAAGTCATTGTGCCTACTTGAAACCCAGTGCACGTTCTTGACAAGCCCGCCATCTACTGGTCACATGAGGAACTGCAATAGCCCCCTTGACGTGGTGGGGAGGGTGGAGTACAAGAAAGTTTGGCAGAGCAAGTGGGTGCAAATGCGAGGGGTTTGGTAGGTTGATGTGCTTTTCTTTAGCCCTCTTTCTCTCAGCCTTCAGAAGGTTCTCCTCTTTCCAGTGGAGGACATGCCTAGCTATCTCTGTGAATGCCCTCTCTGGAGTCCTGGGAGGAGTGGAAAGGCCTTAACACGCTTTCAGGATTTTCCTAATTCCCCAAGTGAGGCATCTGCGCTGGTTTGCTAGTTGACTGGTGTGAGTTTCATCGATGCTTGTATCTCTTCTCAGGACTTGACTCCTACAGGCTAAAACCCACAGCAGAATCCATTTATTTTAATTTTGCCATTTTCACAAAATCATGGTTGATATTAGTGATTGTTTTTAAAATTCTGTCACTTTTGGGTGCCTGGGTGGCTCAGTTGGTTAAGTGACTGCCTTGGCTCAGGTCATGATCCTGGAGTCCCCGGATCGAGTCCTGCATCGGGCTCCCTGCTCAGCGGGGAGTCTGCTTCTCCCTCTGACCCTCTTCCCTCTCGTGCTCTCTATCTCTCATTCTCTCTCTCTCAAATATATAAAATCTTAAAAAAATAAAAAAATAAAATTCCGTCACTTTTTCATAAAAGTAAATTTAAAAGTAAAACTTTAATTTACAAGTACATTAAAATTTTTTTAATCTGAGAGGAATTGGTTTGTCAGACATGTTTTGGATTCTGAGACAGTGATAGATCTGACAGTACCAAGACCTCTTCCTTTCAGACTGTAGGTTTGTCAGAACTAGGATATACCTCAGTCCCCCATCCCTAAATGTTTGGGTATTTCAAGTGCCACTATGCAGAAGTTCTATTGCCTTTTTAAAAAGTTCTACTGATTTTTCAAATCAGTTTCAAAACCTTTGGGATGCCGCAAAGGCAGTCCTAAGAGGGAAGTATATAGCAATTCAGGCCTTCCTCAAGAAACAAGAAAAGTCTCAAATATACAAGCTAACCTTACACCTAAAGGAGCTGGAAAAAGAACAGCAAATAAAGCCTCAATCCAGTAGGAGAAGAGAAATAATAAAGATTAGAGCAGACATCAATGACATAGAAATTAAAAAAACAAAAACAGAACAGATCAAGGAAACTAGGAGCTAGTTCTCTGAAAGAATTAATAAAATTGATAAACCCATACCCAGACTTATCAAAAAGAAAGGACCCAGATAAATAAAATCATGAATGAAAGAGGAGAGATCACAACCAACACCACAGAAATACAAACAATTATTAAGAGAATATTATGAGAATTATATGCCAACCAATTAGGCAATCTGGAAGAAATGGATGCATTCCTAGAGATGTATAAACTACCAATACTGAAACAGGGAGAAATAGAAAAGCTGAACAGACTCATAACCAGAAAAGAAATTGAATCAGTAATCAAAAATCTCCCAACAAATAAGAGTCCAGGGCTGGATGGCTTCGCAGGGGAATTTTACTAAACGTTTAAAGAAGAATTAATACCTATTCTTCTGAAACTGTTCCAAAAAATAAAAATGAAAGGAAAACTTCCAAACTCTTTCTATGAAGCCAGCATTACCTTGATCCCAAAACCAGACAAAGCCCCCACTAAAAAGGAGAAGTACAGACCAATATCCCTAATGAAGATGGGTGCCAAAATTCTCACCAAGATACTAGCCAATAGGATCCAACAGTATATTAAAAGGATTATTGAGGCACCTGGGTGGTTCACTCGGTTAAGCGTCTGCCTTTGACTCGGGTCATGATCCCGGGGTCCTGGGATCGAGCCCCACATCGGGCTTCCTGCTCCGTGGGGAGCCTGCTTCTCCCTCTCCCTCTGCCTGTCTCTCCCCCTGCTTGTGCTCTCTCTCTTTCTGTCAAATAAATTAAAAAATATAAGGGTGATTCACCACAACCAAGTGGGATTTATTTCTGGGCTGTAGTGGTAATTCAACATTTGCAAATCAATCACTATGATACACCACATTAATAAAAGAAAGGACAAGAACCATATGATCCTTTCAATAGATGCAGAAAAAGCATTTGACAAAATATGGAATCCTTTTTAAATAAAAATTCTCCACCATGTAGGGATAGAGAGAATAGGTCTCAACATCATAAAAGTTGTCCATTTACAGATGAATGCATAAAGAAGATGTGGTACATATATACAATAGAATATTACTCAGCCATCATAAAGTATGAAATTTTGTCATTTACAGCAACATGGATGGGACTAGAAGGTATTATGCTAAGTGGAATAAGTAAGTCAGAGAAAGACAAATACCACGTGATTTCACTCATATGTGGAATTTAAGAAACAGAAGAGGATCTAAGGGAAGGGAGGGAAAAATAAGATGAAATCAGAGAGGGAGACAAACCATAAGAGACTTTTAACTATAGGAAACAAACTGAGGGTTGCTGGAGGAGAAGTGGGGGGGGGGATTGGGTAACTGGGTGTTGGACGTTAAGGAGAATATGTGATGTAATGAGCACTGGGTGTCATATACAACTGATGAAGCGCTAAATTCTACCTCTGAAACTAATAATACACTATATGTTAAATTGAATTTAAATAAAAAATTTAAAAAGAATTCTACTGACTTCTAGTAGCAAATCTATAATGTGGAGAGATTTTTCTAAGAAAGGTAAGTCTGGAGGAGTGTCCTTGAGGCCATTGCAGTTACCCTATTCTTCTGGCATGAACTTTAGAAACCACAATCTTCATTCCCCTCTCAATAACTCCTCAGTCCATAGGATGTCACTTTGTCACTGATTCTTTGTCTTCCTTGGCCAGATGGCTATGCTGTGCTTCCCTTTGATTTGAATGAACACTGTCACAGTCCTAAGCCTTGGAGGTCTCAGGAGGGGAAGCCCAATTCCATGTCCATTGTGTCCCCTGATGAGGCCAAGGTGACGCTGGTAAGTAGGTAGGATGAGGAGGCATACACACCAAGGAGCCCTCCTAGCTGTTTCCCGAGAGTTTATTCTCAGATCACCTCCATCTTGATGGCCCTGAGATATCACAGAGGGTCTCCAAAATAGTCATGGACACAAAAGAACTTGTTTCTATCCCAGCAGGGCTTGAGTTAATCTTCAGGTTATTTATATCTTGGAACACAGCACACTGGGGTGCAAGCTTCCCAGAGGTCAGGGTTGTTGAATGGCTCCTATTTATTCAGCTTCCTCCCGCACCAGTAGCCCCCTGTAGGACTGACCTCTGTCCTTGCTGACCCTGTAATGGGCAGTCTGAACTCATCATTAAAGCCCCAAATATTACTTTAAAGTGAGGGAATCTTTCTCTTTCTCAAAGCCAACTATTTTTTATCCTGTGTCAGAAAAACACATTTGCAAGAGGAACAAATACAAGAAATACTATTTTTCAACAGTATTCAAAGCCTCACGCTTCTTCTAAATAGCAACAATGAGAGTCAGGCTTTCTTGTCTGTTGTTGGTCCAGAGTATAAAGGGTGATGGAGGAGGGAGAAAGAGAAGGGCCATGCCCCTTCCAAAAGTGCCCATTGAACTCTGGTGGTACTTGTGAAGAGAGGCCATCATCTGCTTCTCAGCAGCAGCCCTCCGGCAGTGCTCCCGAGTGCTCCCTTAGGGAGCTCAGCATCTGGGTGGGATTTCAGGGCTCTGCCAGTGCTGTCTCCCCTCCTGTCAGAAAGAAAACCAAGAAGACTGTGAAATGACATATTGCTGTATCACCAGGATCTGAGAGTTGATCATTTTTCTCTCTTTTCCCTGAGAGAACTCTACAGTTATAAGACCCATTGCTACGGGACTCCAGGAAATAAATAATTATTATCTTTCTGGTGAGTTGACATGATAATTCTCAAAAAAGGTTTCTATCAGGTCCCTACGAATAGGAGCTGATGGCCATCACCTTAATCTCTCCAAATTTTTAGCAAGGCTCTGGACTCCTCTTGCATTACTGTTTTCTTGTCATTTCTCACCTCCTCTGCTGTTTTATTCTCCCTTCTTTCCACAATGCCCCTCCCAATAATGAAACCTATACCTAAATAGGAATTTTGTGTCATGATTATATTCTCACACTACCCTTTTGGGAATATTTTAATATGAGTAGTGCACATAATATCCTTCTCCTTACTTTAAAGCTAAGGAAATGGAAACCCCAGAAATAGACTTACCCAAAGTAAAGCTTATCCAAATTTATTTAAAAACTAGAATTAAAATCTCAGACATCATAATCTCATGGTTCCTTTTGCCATACTGGCTGAGGAAGTCATGAATGCGGGTCACACATGATGGCAGCATTTGAAGGAGGAAACAGACTGAGTGAATCATACCTTGAAGAAAAGCCTGTGAAGGAGGAATGGTGAGCATGTCTCTGCTGCCCTCTGGTGACCATGTGGATGCATGACTCTCCTTCCCGTCTGTTCTCCCTCCTGCCTTCTCTGGGATCCTTGTTCTGCCTGGTCTCCTCAGTGTTTCCTGCCTTTTTCTCCCACGTGTCAACATGTCCCTACAAAAAAACAGACATCCATAATTCATAGCATAATTCAGGACACAGTTCTTATTTCCAAAGTGGAAGACCTTTTAGAAAGTATATGTAAGGGCTTTTTGAGAAGAGATGTACAAAAATTTACAGGAGCTTCCTGAAGTGGGCATTTGCTACTACTGTGATTGACGATAAACAAAATGCAAAAATGGGTACTAAAGAGAATTCCAACATGCTATATAATTGAGATGATGCAGAATATCTGGGAGAATT